TTTCCTTTTTTTTTTTTTTTTTCCCACATATACTTGTCAACCACTTTCTCCCCTTGGACTCTTCACAGTTTCTCCTCTGTGGAAATACAACTGCCTCACACATCTTTCTGCACACTCATCTGGTATTTTTGATTCCCTGAAGAGGTGGTTCTACACGTTATTCCACATTTCCTTGGAACATAGGACAAAAGAGTAAACAAGGGGGGAAAGTGAGTCAGAGAGACCTGTTCCTTTTAAATACTTACCCTGAATCTGTGGCTCTGAGCACCTTCCAGAAATGTGGTGAACGAGATGATAAGCATTCACTCTATAGGGCTTCTTTCCTACTCCACCCCCCCCATGCCCCCATGGAACTTTTATTTTTTTAAAAAAAATCATTACATTTTGTACACAGTTGTTCCTGAATGCTGCTCTTAGAATGGGACTTTTATACTGGAAACTGTATGAGTTTATGATATAGACTGAGACCAACTCTTGACACTCACTGTCAAACAAACACTACTGCTGCAACATAATTGGAACAGCTTTAAAAAAAACTTGTTTTCAGAAGTCAGCGCTTAGGGATTGTATTTTGGGGAACAGTATAGTTTATGGAGGAAACCAAGTGCTGCTTGTCCATAAACAGCCATTCTTGCACAGATTTGTGGTAGAGACTGCTTCCTGGCAGTGGATTTTTCAAGCAATTTAACTTGGAAAAATTAAGAATTCTAGTAGTTTCACGGGTAAACATCTCTATACTTTGTGCAGGTTAAAGGATAAAAAATGACAGAACTAAAGACAAAAATTTGTTCTTTCTCTGCCATATGAGAATACTGCAAACAAAGCTTTCTCAGACTGTATTTCCAAATGGTCATAATGTAGTTAAAATCTGTATGTATTTTCACGCAGATGGCCAGAGGTATAATCTTGAATGCAAGGTTATCCTTGTGCTAAATTTAAAATCTCTGCTCAGAAAGTGTAGCTGTACTAAACCAGTTCAAAGTGTATGTTATCCAACACACTTAATATAAGCAAATACACATGGCTTTCTCCAGTGATTTTCAAATATGGTCAAAGTGTTTTAGCTGAAATTTTATTAAAATTGCAGTCAGAAATTTCCTGATATAGAAATTTTTAGCTCAAGTCGTTGAAGCATGACACTGCATAACTAAAATAAAGTAGAAATAAATATGATAAATACAAGTAGTAAATATAAGAAATGTGAATGAAATGTGGTAGAAAGTGTGACAAACTTGCAAATGTAGCAATAGGTGATTGCCCCAACTGTATACCCTTAGAACCAGAATATGAATTTGATTCTTAAGTTTAAAGATACTCTTGTCTTATTGTCGTGACCTTTTATTAGCAGCCTATAGCTGGTCTATTGTTGTGCACGTTGTGACAGTGTGTGCGCACTGGAATGAAGCATAGATGCTCTTCAGGTGTAGAATAAAGTATTTACTATTTCCATATTTAGATACAGGACAATTTTTCAATGACATGCCTTGTAATTGCTTAATCAGAAAGGTTATATAAAATAGTTTTAGCAGTAGGGGGGTTTCTGATTAACTGATAATGGAGCAAACCCATATCACAGACTATTTTGATCATTTTGCCTGATTACCAAATATTAGCCTGAACTTTTCCAAGAAACATATCCAAGTTTGTAAGTCTGATATTTATCCACAGTATAGAAACACTGTAAGAAATGGCAGTATTAACCATCCAGTACTGTCTTGCCAATTTGTTTCATCCCTGTTTAAGAAGATCATTCCTCTTACCAGAAAATTGAGCGATACTTGAGGGTGTGGAACACCGCCAGCATAGAGGGTGTGGAACACCGCCGGCATAAAAGGTGTTTAGGCTCTTGAAGTACAGTTTTGTTTTGTTGTTCCTACATCCATAGTCTGTATATAGTTTGACATACTGTAATCCAATAGCAAGATTAGATAGGTCAGTCTTTAATCATGATTGATGTTTTATGTATATTGTGTTTTCAAACACAAAGTTGTTTAAGAGTTTAACTATGCACTTTGAAACATATACAAAAACACCATCCTGTAAAATAATCTATTGCAACAAAACCAGTGTTGTAAAAAGTGCTACTGTATAACACTTTTTTTTTTTTACTGAAACAGACTTCCTCTTTGTTTTTATGATCTCTTATTAAAAGTTGGAACAAGTCTAAATTATCAGTTCCTCTAGGAGAGAGCAAATAGACATGACAGCAGCCTGTGATTCAGTTTCTTAGTTTTAACACTGCAAAATTGTCATTAAATATGTATTTGTTTACCAAATTTACTTATACCATTGTGAAAGAAATTAGAACGGCCATGAGAACAGTTCATTAATCTTCTAAATGGACTCTTCTACTATTTGCTGCTGTCTTGATAACAGATAAGCTTCACCTGTTTGAAAGAGGAATGCAAGTAGAAGATAGGAATTTAGAGATTTTTTTGTTAGAAAAATTACAATATTTACTCTTATAATAAGAGTTGTCTTGCTTATGGAAACCTTAGTATAACTTGTCTTGATTTCTTTACATTTAACTTTGGTTTGTGCACATGAGAACATGAGAAAACATTGAACATGTTTTCTGTTCAATGAAAAATATAGTGCATTTGGCTAAAAGCATGCGATCTAATCTGTTTCATAGCTGGTAAAGGGAGTTGGTAAATCCTTTTGAAAATGAAGAATAAAATTATTTGTATCATCCACATCTATCTTTGTACTGGAGAAGTAGGTTGTCTTTCTGTCCTTAAAAACAGATATAGTCAACTAGGAAAAGGAGGACAAGCTCACAAGATTATATTTTTGGGCCTAATGGAATCTTACAGGGTATATCACAATGGCAAGAAATAAATCTACCATCAAAACCTCACCTGATAAATGTACTTAATCTTCTGTCATGCAATTTACAAGGTTTTGATTTATAGATCTAAATGTTCTAGTAAACCTTGAGTGCACTGACAAGGCTGGGTTTTATTTTGCTGAACTCAACATACATGAATGTGACACAATGTATTCTGAAAGACTCTAAAATATATCTATGTTATCGTTGTGCAAGTCAAAGAGTTTATTATATACAGTGCTAAGAAGTCAATTTAAAGCAGGCTTTTCAGTAAAGAAAAAGATGCTTCATTTGAGGTAAAAATAACTGACTATCAAGAGGAAAGGCTCTCAAAGGAGAAGATGGCAAAGGCTTGTTGGTCTTAATAAGAAGATCATAAGAAATGACAAAGTATTTTTCTGAATACTTACATCAGTTGGTTTGGGGTTTTTTTATTATTGTTTCATTATTCATCGTCCCTGTGTAGAAAGTAGCAGGAAAATAGCTACATTCAGATTTTCCAAAGGGACCCAAAAGGATTTCAGTATTTTGTTCACACTTGTTTGGACATTAAAGGGCTCTACATTTCTTCATGTACATTGGCATAAATAGAGCAGTTGATCCCAGGTCAGCATGTCAGTATGCTACAGAAACTGCAGGTGTAGAAGGAACATACATCAGATCACTTCCACTCACAGAATCTCCGAGTCTGGAAGCTGAATCTGATCTGAGCCCTTCTGGTTGTTGGAGTTCTTTTGAGAATATGCCATTTATCCCAAAAGCAGTTCTCAAAAACAGGTCTGAAACATTTTCAGATTTTGTGTGCAAAAACCTTTGGAAATGCCTGTAACTTTTTCTTGAGAAATGTGCCCGTTTCTCTCTTATTATTCTTCTGTTCCCCACCCCGTGCAGGCTGCCAAGTTGGGCATCCTTACACACCTCTGGTACTGCACCAGGAACTGCTAGCTCCCATGCCAGCAGGTTTCTGGGAATGGCCAGTGCTGTAGTGCCCCTTCTCCTTTTGTGACTCTAAAAGCCATTAAGTGGACTTGAAGAGCTACTAAGTAGACTTTTATGTGTAATTTGAAATAAGTACCAAAGGTAAGATTTGTACTTTTGCTGGAATGTTTGACAGTCACCTACATCTGCGTTTCACTCTTCTCCACTTCTAGCTCATGCAAACCCATTTTCAAGTTCCAAGCACACTGTGCTGTGTCTGTGTCAGAAAACAGTTTATACAAGTGGATGAACTGTGTTCATGTCTGATTCTTAAGTGTGAATAATGAATTTTAATTCGGTGTCTTTTTTTTTTTCAGTTTAGCTTCTTGTTTTGTTACAGAATAATAATTACTCATGAGAGTTAAACAAAACTGCACATACTTATTTGAAATGGTACTGCTGTTGTCCTGATTGTATTTAACAGTATGCAATAAATCTGGTAAAACAGAAGTGCAGTCTTTATGTATTTAAGAAGAAAAAAGTGTAATCTCTGCCTGCTGTCATGTTAAACTAAGCAATTTACTAGCATTTATATCCAGTTTTATTTTTCTGTAGAAACTGTTAATGAACTTCAAGATGCTGGTCCCATCACCTATTTAAAATGTCTCTATGAGTTAATTACCTGATATTACAGCTCTTCTACTGCAAAATATCTAACAATTGTTAGAGCTGGAATTTTTATTTTCTTTGAATACCTCATCTGTCATCATGAACAATAAGCTTTTACCTTTCCCTTTAGCTAACTTAAGGCAAACTACATTTTTGTCTTGGCTCTTCTTCGTGATGGGAGTGCCCTGCTCGCACATTCGAGTACTCCGCAGGGTAGAGATTTTGACCATGAATCAGAAATTGTATAGTAGGTGTAAAACATGAAATAAAATCAATACATTTTTCTGAGGCATGTCACTGGTTAAGTGACAAAAAATATTCTGATAGTCACTGAAAAAGAGAAGTCAAAGGTACATTTGAACCTGTCAGTTCAACACATTCCTGTTATCCCTTTAGGGGATATCATACAACTTGACACCAACATTTAAGCTTTGAAAATTATGAGCTCATCTATTTCAAATGGGATGTCACATGTTCCCAAGCCTTTGCCATTACTTATAAGGGAAGACAGAATGATCACTTTTGTCACATATTAATAGTGAATAAGATCTTTCTTTTTTCTTTTCTTTTTTTCTTGTTTCAGAATGAAGAACAAATTTTGGTATTTTGAATTTGGCACTTCGGAAACTTTCTCAGCCACCTGTAAGAAGCTGCATGAATCTGTAGAAATAGAAGTAAGAAACTAATTGTTGCATTTATCCTTGAAATGTCACTAGTTTGGCTGAAATGCAGGGAGCAAGGGTGCAGAATGCCTGAATCCAACAAGGCAAAGCAGTGCACATCCTTTCGACCCTATATTCCAAAATATTATTTTTATCATGTCTATTTGTAGTATAGCCCTGCACACTGGAACAAAGTTCAGTTTGATGATTAGTGAAGTCTTAATACAGTAGACGAGGTCAAGAGGTGAAATATAACATTAGAAATCAATAGGGAGTGTGGCTAGGTCAGATGGAAAAATGAAAGACTGTCGGAGGGAGTGAGAGCTGCTACAGGATTAAAATAAAAAAAAAAAATCTTATTATTTCTAGGTCCCAAGTTTTTATAACCTTTAAAACTCAATTCCCTAAAATTGTACTTACTTTCCTGAATAAAGGTTAAAGAATATATATTTTTTGGAATCATTCCCCTTCATTAAATAGCTTTTCTTTCTGCACAAGGGGTCATCTTTCCATTATACATTGAACATTAACTGAAAAGACACAGGATAGTTACAGACAAAATAGGAATTTAAAATAATGTGCCACTGCTACTTTGATGGCTGATAGAATAAGTGGCTACATTACATAAACTGTTTGGGGAGCTGATATTTATAAATAAGTAAATGAAAAATATGAAATGAGTGAAGGTACAAACCTGGGAATTTAAGTTAAATAATGAAATCATTTCTCAAGAAGATTATGGTGCTTTTCCTTTCCAATAGTAATGAGAAACTGCACATGTCAATGGTGTATTTGTATAGTAGCATGAGGCACTCAGAGCAGTATGGTGAGAGCTATGAGAGTCTGGTCAAAGCCTCCTGAAAGGCGAAGTCTGAAATGATCTGAAGGGACCATGGATCTGGCAGTAGAACAGTAACAAAGAATACTGAGAATGAAACTGTTAGACCTGTAGTGCCAGACTTGCCTGTTATGTTGTTATGTTTCTTTTTAAAGTGGAAGCATGTGCCACACACAGATTAAAAAAAAAAATAATTAAAAAACCAAACAAACACACAAACAAAAAACCCCATTGCTTCCCAAGACAGTGCTTCACACATTTGAGTTTAAGTACATGTAGCCTGAAAATATTTGATGAGTTATTGGAAGAAATGCCTACCTGATTTAATTTGAATATACCGCAAGCTAAATGTACCTTTTGATTAAATACAAATTGAAGAGCAGGCTTTCCCAATAAAATATTTCCATGCAGCAAAAATCTTACATAGCCTGTAAGATGTGATGATCTCAAAACATTGAATTGCAACCATTGAAAGGGTGATGAAATGTTAACATTCCAAAGCAAACAAGTATGCATACAAGTCTCTGATGCTGGCGATACCAGTTGTATAATTATTACCAATTCATATCAATAACACTGTTATTACCAATGAAGCATTACTTTGCCAGTATATGAGACATGTTTGTTAATATTCACTTCATCTATTCTGGTCATTATCATTAGCCCTACAATTAGGAACAAAAACCATAGAGGAAATAGTTTCCAAAATGTTTACACAAGAAGTGTTAGGTGGTAGTTATTTACAGATTTATTTACAATGAGTAAATTACATTTAAATGAACAATGCTTGCCAGTATGCTTGTATCTAATGATTCTTCTTTGAACGTTATAAACACTTGGGAGTATCACTGTTTCCATCTGATTTTTAACCTGCTGCCCCTTGCTTGGGGATGTTGCTGTAAATGAGAGCTTGGTGTACAATACCACATTTCACTCTGAATAAAAGGCACAAAGAATGCGTTTGCTCTACAGCCAAGTTTTGAATTAACAAAGCTTACGAAGATTAGGGATCCGTATCTCTGAGCTGGGAGACAGTGATCAAACACTCTGTGGGCAAACCCTGTGTTTGATTTCTAAACTAATTAAGCTTGGCTTTCCTGATATACATTCATGTCTCTTACGTTCTGTATATTTTCTTCTGTGTGAGATGCAGAACAAAGTTTAGACACTAAATTCTTATGTTATCCAGAATAAGGTGTGGTTTTATTTCCAAATTGGGATTCAAGAAGTTGGGGAGAAAAACATAGGTTCTAAAGGAGAAAAAAAAAGGGGGGGGGGCCAAATAAAGTATTTATTTTTTAATAATAATATGTCAGTAAATGAGGCTTAAGACTTTCCAATTTAGAGCACTTATACTTTATTTCCGCTTCAGAAAAAAAGGAAAGTGTGTGAAGAGTATTTAAAGAGAGTATGCATAGATCCAGTGTAAGTGGAGATGGCATGGTCCATATCTGCAGTGCTGTAAAAGCATCATGGGACAAGAGGAAGCCTGCCATACCACCTGCTGTTAATGGGTGGGGAAAAGGATTTAAAGAATCATGTAGTCTTGGATGATACTGCTCTTGGTTACACAGCAAAGCCTTAGTCTCAGCTGTTTTCAGGCATGGATATGTTCTCAACTTCGAGATGATCTGAAAAAATTTTGATCTAATGAATGAAGAGTAAAAGATAATGCCTGAAAAGAGACTGAGTCCAGGATTGAAGGCAAAAAAGAAATAGAAGTGCTAGTGTTTATTTCTAATCTAGGTAGGCATGCTCCGCATTCTACAAGTATGCTTTTATTTTTAGCAGCACCGTTGCATTATTTGAAATAAAAAATAAAAGGAAAAGAAAAGGAGCGGAACACATCCGTGTTTTGTTGTTGTAGTGTATGAATGTGTTAGGACAACGCAGGGCTACCTGTAGCGCAAACTTCTTGTCTGTGTATGAACAAAAGAAATTCTCCTTTACTAATTCAGAAAGTTCCTCGTCACTGTGGGATTCTGAGGCCTAGTCAAATAATTGTCTTAGTGTACTACCTGCTGTGTTCAATATTGAGTGAAAATGGAAGCCAGACCCTGCGCCATCCTATTTCACAATTCTTCTTTTATTTAAATAATTCCAGTCAGTTTGGGGGACGCCAGACCTTTATAAATTAACAGCAGGGAAATACCAAAGGTGTCAGATTGCATATTTATCATCTTTCTCGTGTAATACTTAAATATGTATTAAGAAGTGACTGACATAAATTAGGCAGATTTCAGAAGCCACAGGCCGTGGCTTGTAGAGGACCCCCTTCTGCTTGACATTTCATCCTTGTCAAAGATCAAATTATTTTAATTTAGGCTGCAAATTATAAGGAATGAAGACTTCTTTGTGGGAATTCCCTGTGGTAATCTGACTTTTGTTGTTACTGCTGCTTGTCAGTGTGCAAAAGATATAATATGCATGCAAATAAGGTTAAAAAATATGTACTATCTAATTATCCAGCCAGTACATTCCACTTGAAGACAGTGGGAGGCCTGACACACAGTATGTGTTTGATTCATTGAGGCCTGCAGGGTATTTACACAAGATTACTTTTAATTATGAAATTAATATCTGTTTATCTAGAATGTATAGCAGTAAGTGAGCATACACATGAGCAGAATTTTTAGTAAAATAAATCATCTTAATATTTAATACATATAAAATATAAAGGGGAACCAAGAATTTTCTTCCAAAATAACAGTGAAGACCCATGCCTTTTTTCTTGTAAGAAAAGTGTGATTAAAAAGTTACACTTTCAATTACAGTAGTTGCCACAACTGTCAACTCACTTCCAAATACGTCTTTTGACTTTAAAGGTTTCTCTATATAAATATAATCCACAGGTTTAAAATTTCATTCTTGAGGAGCAAATATGAAATGGAAACCTTAATGTTGAAAATGTTCTCTCTCCAGATTTGCACTCTTCTTAGAAGAACTAAGAAGATGCAGAGTATGCATTATAACACAGTTCTGTTTTGACATCTTAGAAAGTTTCAGGGTAAACAAATAATTATGCACAGTTACTTTTGAGTTGTACTTTCTTTTTCTCCTTCAAAGCTGTGATAAAGGCTTAGGCAGAGAGCAAAAAGTGCCAGTGACCCACAGAGCAGCAAGCTGCAAGATGTCAGTGGACTGTTACTGAACCATGCTTAATTATTTTTCCAGTTTTCTTCCTGATTATTGTATACTGGAATTACAAAATAAGACCCTTAATCAGTTTTAAATGCATGACTGGACCCCCAGTGTTCTGGCTTGCAGAACACTGCAAGAATAGGATCTAATGTTTTAAAAATATGCTGCTATACACTATAAGGTGCATCTGACTTGCCAGGATATCTACATACTCCAGCTATGTTGTGAGGCATGAAGCTAATCTACCTCTAGCCAAGGTACAAGTATATAAATCCTGGGAACTTTGGGTGGTTCAGTGAATTAATAAGTAGAACTGGATGCTTTGCCTTCCACCTGCAGATTCAACTGTAGTTAGCTGAAGTTGGGTCTTTTTTTTCTTCTGGGGAGGTTCTTCAGTATTTTGCTATGTTTTATATGGGTTAGGATCTTCTCCTGATCCTAAAACAATATGGGTGGGGAGGAGGACTTAGCATGAGTAAATAACAGTCTTATGGAAGCTAGGTGCATCCTATCAACTAGGTACATCTCATCCAATATGTGTCAGGTGAACTGTGTTTACAAATGTTGTAGGTTTTTGCCACCTGAGAAGATGCTGCAGTTTGTCACTAAACAGGCTGATAAGTTAAGGCCCCTGAACCATTCCTCTGGAAATGAAAATTACGGTCCTTTTATAAGGTATAATTTGAAGCCACATTTAGCAAAGGAATGTACACCTGTAAAATGCCTCAATGTCCAGTGTTGCTGTAGGAAGCAGGAGAAATACATGTAAGTGACACAAGGTGCCCTACAGTAATGAATCCATCGCTGAAGGGACTGTCCTGCAGAGTAAGATTTCTTCTGTGTGTCCAGTGAGTATTGGAAGGCTTTTAGAGCACTCATACCTCTTCTTTAGCTCCATATCCAGTGTTTTCCTTTGGCAGTGCTGCCTATTTCAGAGAACTGGCTGAGGGAGTTTCTGGGATAAGAAGTGCTGCTTCTGCATCTGCACTTTGCTGTACCCAATTTTACTAAACTTACCTCTCAGTAAGAGCCATTAGTCAGGCATAACCCTATGCTAATGTGCCAGCTGTGCCTTTGGATTGATACTAATATTGGTGTGTTCTGTGCTCTCGGGGCCTGCTTACACCCTTTCTCATGAAGCTATATAGGCTTATTATACAGGGGCTTTTATATTTGGTTTCATGTTGAAGGGACTCAGGTGTTTAATGACAAATAACATTGCAAAATCATAAGACAGACAATTTAGCTGGAACAGGTAAAAAAAAGCCTCCACTTATTGCTACAGAAATTTTTTGCAGTATAAATGTTTTCCTGCTAATAGCTGTAGTGCAGCTACAAATATATTTCACTTGGGTCAATGAAGAGCTCTCAGATAACAGTATGGCTCTACCAAATGGTTCCACACTTAAGCAATCACAAGCTGAATAGGAAGCATGTTTTGCCTTCTGAATGAGGATCTGTTCCTACCTCATACCTCCTTTCCAGATATAAGTATATATCTTAGGTGTAAACATTGAATAACCTATTAACAGTGTTAAGAATGATGAATTGCTGAAGAAAAATATTTGATAGGTAGAACATTCTGACTTTTCTTTCTCTTTTACTGCTTTCTCTCTCTTTTTTTTTTATTTTCCTTTCCTTTTTTCTCCTTGCTAATCAGTGTGATGGAATTCAGCTAGACTTAATCAATATTTCTCTGGAAGGAATTGCCATTCTGAACATCCCAAGCATGCATGGTGGATCGAATCTTTGGGGAGAGACAAAGAAAAGACGTAGCCACCGTCGGACAGAAAAGAAGAGGTCAGATAAAAGAACCACTGTCACAGATGCCAAGGAATTGAAGTTTGTATGCCAAGGTAAGCTTACGGATTAATATAGGCTAGCTGGCTCCATCCAGTATAATTGCCCTTGTATTGCCTCTTGTCAAGAAAAAGGATAGACAGTTCTTAGCTATTTCTTTTCTTGTGCATTTAGCTTTTCTGATGGGAAGCACTAGAGCAAAGGCATAAACAAAGACATGCTGACAATTAAAGTCTATATACTTGCAAACATGCCTCTGATGTTACCTCTTAAGCAGACTAAGCACACCATGGGGTACTGTTTGCTACTACGATATTCAGTCTAGAAGTACCTGGAGTTTTTGGAGTCGGAAAATGCTTACTGAGCATTTATAATGCTTCTTAATGTCAGCATGCATAAAACGTGGGGATAATCATTCCCTGTTTCTAACAAAATTTGGCCTGAGACTGTGGAAAATTACTTCAGAGTAACAAAAGCAAGCTGACTATACATTTTATGTTACTATACTGTGATGTTATGTGCAATCCTTGAATTCAAATGCTGTAGCTCGCTTGCATGGGTGTGATCCATCCTTTCAGGTCTCTCTTTCTCACTTTCCTGGTGATTAGATGCATTTGATCCATAAATTTTTTTACTAATCATAACTTTTGACAAAACCTACAGTAAACAGTACTCTATTCTACGCATTGTAACATCACTGCATATCATAAGTTCTAGTGATCATAAAACATTGTTCTGTTCACAACAAGGGATGAAGAGACCAGACTTTGCAAACTCTTTTTTTTACCCTGTTTTAATGCTATGGAGAAAAATATCTCCTGCTTCTCCACCTTATTCAGACTGAATAAATATCAGAACTTAACTGTCTGATGTTACTGTGATCCTTTTACTGGTTTTGGATATCCTATTTTTTACATTTCATCAGCAGTAATTTTTAAGTCACTAGTTATATCTTAGATAAGTAATATGTGTTGTCATGTTAATCCAGGTAATTTATCTGGATGACAGAAGTTTTGTTTTCTGTGGCTTGGAGGTTGCAATATGTACTAGGACTCAAAATTTCTATGTGTTTTAGCAATTTGACTTATGCTCTCAGTATTTTGAAGTAACTTACAAATACACTCTGTCAGCTGAAGTCTTATCAACTGCTAAGCTTCTGCATATGCTACAATTTCTGTATTATGTCCTGATGTTCAAGAGATGGAGGCAGGCTATTGGGTAATGCACTAGCCAAAATTTTGCCTTTTGTGTTGCTTCTGAACATAGGGAGACAGGATATTTCACGCTTTTAATAGTAAAGAAGCAAGATGTTATAACCTCTTTAATTATTGAGGTTATGCATGAATGTATTGAAGTTACTTATGTAGGACGAGGGGTAATGGCTTCAAACTGAAAGAGGGTAGATTTAAAATAGATATTAGGAAAAATATTTTCACTCTGAAGATGGTGAGGCACTGGAACAGGTTGCCCAGGGAAGTTGTGGAGGGCCCATCCCTGGAGGTGTTCAAGGCCAGGCTGGATGGGGCTTTGAGCAACCTGGTCTAGTGGGAGGTGTCCCTGCCCGTGTCAGGGGGGTTGGAACTAGATGATCTTTAAGGTCCCTTCCAACCTCAACTGTTCTGTGATTCTATGATTTGATACCTATGTAACAGTGATTTCAAACTATGACTATTTTTGATGTATTAGAGGGGCATTGCTACACTCCACTTCCATTTTCCTGGACAGGAAAAAATAAAATAATAGTAAAAATTTTAGACTGAACAGAAGATCCTACATTATCTTTTGGTGTTCATAATGTAGGCATTAAGCACCTTAATTTAGAAAAACTAGTCTCGTAACTTAGATTCTAGTCACTTTATATGCACTGTGGATGGAAGTAGCTTCAACCAAAAGGCAATTTCAAAGCAGAGATTGGCTTCTCAATATCATAAGCTAGAGGGCCTTTGTCTTGTCACTGAGTACGTGGATTGTATTATTGGTTGCATCTACAGTAGCATTTTAGTGCTTAACGGGAGTACACATCTTGGATTTCTGAGTAGTCCATGTTTATTGCGTTCCAGTTTGCAATACTGAGCAGTCTTGAGCATGCAAACTGGATTCCTTTTAAATGGAGGGGGGCACATGCTCTGACTGCAAATGGATGTTCAGGTTTACACAACTCAAAGTCAAACTCCAAAATGAACGTGATGTGAACATTTGAGAAGCAACTGATTTGCTGTATAGATCCACTCCTATTTTATAGAGCAAAGAACAGTCACTTAATTTTGCTAGCTAAGATAGGTTCCTAGGTTAGAGTGTGCTGCTTCATCTCAGTATTCAAGATTATTGCTGAATAATGGAATTAAATCAATTTTATGTCTAGGCTTCTCAAATAGTTTTGACAAATCTAAATCTATCCACTGCAGAAATAACTCACTGCCTGTCACTTCTGAAACACTGATTCCTTCACTAGCTTTGTATAAGCATATTTGAGAGCCCTATATTGTCGAGCTAATTGTTTTCTTAACTATGCTTGGATCGGACTTTTTGGTTTGAAGAAAAAGTCTTACAAAATGTTAACGCCTGGTGCAGAAATAGGTATTGCTGTATTGAGAATTGTGGTAAAGACATACCTCCCTGTTAACTTCTGTTTATTTATTTACTTATTCTGAATAAATATCCTTGCAGTTCGTTTTATGTCCAAATAAAGCATCTAATCACTTGACAACTAAACATTGCATTTCTCAGGAGACAGTAGTCAAACATCCTTATCTTTCATATTGATATATATATATCAGATTTTGGTGTTGAGTTTTGGATTTTGGTGTTTGTTTGGGTTTTTTTTGTTTGTTTTGTTGTTTTTTTTTAATCTAATCCTCTTACATGGGATTTCTGAGTGGCATGCACATTTAGTTTTAGTCTTTTTCAGTCTCAGTGCAACTGTGGGGTTTTTTAGCTATATATCAATCCATATTCTTCTTGTCTCTCTCATTTTATGGGTTTATAACTTGACCATAAATACATGAATTGAAGTTTAGTATTCAAAGTCTGAATCCTTAAATGAGATACTTGCATGGACTAGTGAAAGCTGTGTCCTCACTCTGGGCAGTTTGTTGCCCCTGAGCATGTTGTGTTGCTCCTCTCGGAACAGCCCTGGCATGACTTTGAGAAATTTCAAAGAAGAAGAAACCTCTGTGAGGTCCTGCTGCTATCGTCCCTCTGCTTTTGTGTGTATTGCCTAACATGAGCCATGTCCATGCAGCATGATCCTCACTGCAGGAAAAAGGGTTAAAGTTCTGCCAAATATTTTTTTCTTTCTTATATATCTCTACAAGTCAGGGAAGGTATATTCCTCTGAGCTTACTCCCCTCTATTTTTTTTTCCCCTATTTGCTGTTGTCACCTGTTGATGCAAAAAGGTGTGTATTTTCTTTGCCCTTCCCATTATCCACCTCTACATACTCAATAGCCAGAACACAATTAGGTCTTGAAGTAATCAGATGGACACCTGCTTGGAAAAGAATCTGATTATGTGTACAATATATTGAAATGTAGCAATTTAAAATGTGCACTATTTAAATACATTCCCTGCTTATCTCATTAGGAGTTGTGCATGTACGCTAAAGATCAAAAGTTGGCACTGACAGTGTGTAGGTATGTGTGTCTGTGTGTGTATCGTTTTTCTATCTAACTAGTAACTGGCTTTGATATTTTCCTATAAAACATATATTTGTCTGATTAACTTATAACTCATTGGAAAGAAAACCTTATTTAGCTGTAATGTACTAAATATTATCCCATTCTTTGTTAATGGAAAAAAATACTACAGTTTTCATTTCAGCTCCTGTGCAGAAGTATAGAGGGTCTTTTAACAAATGTTATTAGAGTAAAAATCAGATTATTTTTTTCTAATTTAATTTCATTTTCATTTCTAATGTATCATTATCAGTTCTATTGCACAAAATCAATGCATTAGGAAAAAATATGACTACAAATATATGTGAAAATTCATGAAAGTAGGTGATTTAATTATTATTTTGACTTTATGAATCTGACACTTGCAATTTTTCCATTTGTTGTTTCATTTTAAAATCTAGTATGTACATATCTATTATATATCTTTCCACAATCACTTTTTTCTAAATACAGATTTTAGATGTAACTCTGCACTATGCTTGAACATTATTTAGACAGGATTTTTGTTTGGATATATACAGATATTGATAAATGCCAAAAATCAGTGCTTTAAAAAGATGAACAAACTGCATAGAAACTAAAGTATGAGTTGAGAAACGTAAATGTAAATAACTGAGCTACTTGTTTGGAAATTGCATCCAAAACATAAGTTGAATCATGGCAACATATCTTACATGAAATTTGTACCACTTAAGTGTTAAACAGCAAAATTTTCTTTTTCACAGAAATACTAAATAAAATTTCCAAACCTTTTGTGACAAAAAGGAAACCATTCTTTCGAAAATCTCTCTAGTAAACTTTTTGCTGAGTGGAGTAGGATTCCTTTTGGGTGGATGTTGTCATGCTTTGATTTGCTTTCATGGCTGAAGTTCAGTAAGAGCCCTGTTCCAAAATGGAGTCTCTTTTAAAGTTTGAAGTCTCTTAAGACTTTATTGCAAACATATATATAACGTGTTTTTGCATGGGTAGTTCCAGTCACCTCAATGGACTCATTCTTGAAGACAATATGTATGAACTATTAATGGATGAAACCTTTAGACTATAAATATTTCAGTGCAATACTTTCTTCATGTTTATTTTGTACATCACCAGGCACACTGGTATTTAACCAAGTATTTATCAAGTTGATCTGTGCAGCTTGTTAAAAAAGCTGCAGTGCCCTATTACACAGCGACATGCCAGACTACTAGACTAATTGAAGACAATGTGCATTCATGTCACGGCACCTCGGCATAAACCGTGCTTGCCAATACGACTCAATAACTTCATGTGGAAATCTCTGATAATAACTGCATTGTGACTTTCTGAATGGAAATGCAGAAGTTTTGGAAATAGAATAACGTGTATACAGACAGTTCACTACAGTTAAAAGTGTGAAGACC